ATTAACTGTATAATACCCTAAAACCAGCATAAATCAAATCATTTGCAATAAAACAGATAGCAAACTGTTGAGCACAGAAGGTGAAATTCCTTAAGAATGAGAGCCCCAGTGTTGCATAGAGGAAGCATTCTGTAGGGCTGACTGTAAGTGGGCGGCTCAGTTAAGGTGCCTTAAATGCTAACATTCATGCAATACAGCTGCTACTTATACTGAACATTGCAGCTCCCATAGATGTGGGTTTTCTCACTGCTGTTAAGCAGGCTTTGGAAAAGTCTTCAGAAGCATACATGTGCAGTCTGAAGTTCTTGTTCAACCATTTTTTGATGTGTTTTTAACTGCTAACAGGCAACAAAGAGTGTGCAAGTCCATCACGCTCAAGTAATTTTACAGAAACTCGAATCAGATCTATTTGGGCCATGTCCAAATTCATCAAAATGGCTAACACGGCGGAATGACAGGTTCCCACAACTGTGTCCAATTAAGAAGTGTCCTGCTGTTTGCCCGTGTGACTTTTGTTCCCAGTTGGCGTGTACAGTCAACTGTCGACTTTCTTCACATATTCAAGCAAGCAAATATTTGTTCCCTTTTTGGAACGGCGACTATTAACGGAGCTGATCAGCAAAGGATTGCACACATTTGACCTTCACTGCTATCGTGCCAGGAAAAAGTCCAAGCTGTCCAAAAAAGATCAAAACTACAGTTTGTCAAAACCAGGTCTGCTGGAAGATTTTGGTCTGAATAGATGAATCTAAGATTATCGGGCCACAGAATCAGCAGACGTTTTTTAAACAAGCATCGCACACAAATTGTAAAGTGTGTTAGAGGGGAAATATTTTTGGGATGCTTCACCGCCACCGGGACTTGGCAGCTTGCAGTCATTAATTCAGCTGTGATAACAGGATAGAATCAATCAAAATCAGGCCTTTCAACAGAATAGGAGCGCAAGCCGATCGACCCTAAAGGTTTATGGAATGGCCTCTTCAAAGCCCAGATTTGAATCATACTGACATTTTGTGGGAGGATTTAAAATCAAATTGAAAAACCTACTTGCAGCTGAAGGAATTCTGACATCAGAGTTATGCAAAATGCCACACAAGAAGTAAGCAGAAAATGCTAGCCTTTGAATCCAAAGAGTAGCACATGAGAACCTTCCAGAATACTCCAGTTGTTAATATATTTGTTGTACAAATTACTAAAAAACAGACGGCCTTGAGGTGTTCTTTCCAAATATATTTTCTATAAGTGCATCTGGCTGTTGGACAAAGAAATAAAATGTTTTTGCATAAAAAGGAATTTGTTGTAATGTTGTGTTCACTGTGTTACCACCTGAGACTTGTGACGTTCAAAGTGCAGTGAAACCCTGAAATAAAAGTGAGAGGGTAAAACAGCAAAGGTGAATGAAGTCAGAAGAAAGGAAGAGGGAGGGGAGACGGGAGAAGAGCGACAGCGAGGAGGGAAGATGAGAAAAATGACACGGCAAAGTGACAGCAAGATGAAAACGGTCTGATGGGTGGAGACAGTTCGGAGATGAAAATGAGAAAAATGTCAAAACACAACACGATGACAGACAGCTGAGAAAAGGAGGGGGCGGGTTGAGAGAGGCAAAAGGGCAGGGACAGAAATCCTGGTCTGAGAAATTAACAAATACTGATGGGTAATGATGACGAGGACGGTTGATGAGAGCAGTTGAAAAAGTGTGCCTGTAAAAATAATACTGCAATGATGTGGCGGGGCAAATGATGGACGTATGGAAGGATTGAGGAAGAAGTGGAATCAGGGGAGAAAGCAGGACTGGGTGGGGGAAGAGAGTAGCCGTAAGCGTGACAGAAAACTATGCAATAAAAAAGTGAAAAATGATGGATAAATAAGTAGATAGAAGGGGAGAATGGCAAAAAGGCAAGATGGGAAACGGCAACACTGCTATGATGACAAGATGAAAAATGGTGATTGGATGGATGACAGGTGGGGGAAAGAGCAGGGAAGACAGTGACTGTGGGAGAAAAGAGGAAAACAATGGCAAGAAGGATGAAAAATACAGACAAGAGAAAAAGGCAAAGAACAGGTGATGAGGAAAAATGGAAGGAGGAGGAGGAGGTGACAGAAGGAATGCAAGAAAAATGCTGAAGACAGAAATGAGAGGAAGCACAACATGCTGACAGTCAGGCAAAAAAACACAAGAGATGGATGAGCAGAAAGGAAATTAGGGTAGAAAAAGAGAAGAAGACATGACTCAATGGAAATGGGAAGATAATGCGAAGCAGAGAGCGAGCTGCAGTAGGAGAGGAATGGCCTTGCACACTAAAGGTAGATAGCAGAAACTTATACTCGAGCTCAGTGTGAAAT